TAGCATATTTTCAAAAAAATCTGGTACATAGCGGTATTTATTTCATATCTATATTTTTAGTAAAATAAATTAATTTTAAATTTAAAACCTACTTTTTTTATCATTATCTTCATCAATACCTTCAGATAATAAAATATCTTCATGATGTTAGGGCGCGCGGATGTACCAGGGCTGACGATATTTCAAATTATGAACATTTCTTGCTAACTAAAACTGCGTTTAATCGTTACATACACAACTTAAGACCTTAGACGCTTTTAGAAAAATTTCAAAGATGTATAAAAATATTTTTTTTTTTTTTACTGGCTATAATTCTTTTTTGAAAAATCAACTTTAAAAATCTTTAGTGGGAGAACCATTTATAACAGATCATTTTTTCTTTTTGATTTCTATAGAGAATTCAATTGTTTTTAAAGTTGCTTTGTACATTTTGAAAAATTAAAAAAAAACATTTTGGCAGGCTTTTTGTTCTAGGCGCCCCACAGTGCGCCTTCTTTTCACAGTAAGATAACTTTTTAAGCAAAATTTTAAAAAAAAATTATAAAACAAGAATTTAGTTATCGCAAAAATGTTTAATTTCTCCCTATAGCAGCTATATAATATAGTCGATTTTTGTTAAATTTAATTCGAAATTCGAAAATATTAAAGAACAGTCATATTCTTGAGTAGAAGAGAATACAATAAAAACCAAAGAAGCTATAAAACTCCAAAACTCAGAATTATATAGAAAATACTATTTCTAAGAGAAGAAGGTAAAATGACAAAAAACACCGAAGCTATAATTTTTTTGCATTATTTTTCCGATTATTCCTATGGGAGCTATAGGATATTGTTGTCCGATCGGGCTGGTTCCGACTTATATATTAACTGCAATAGAAAAAAGACTTCTGTGAAAGTTTCAAACCGATAGCATCAAAACTGAGAGACTAGTTTGAGTAGAAGCGGCAGACAGACGGACAGACGGAAATGGCTAGATCGACTCGTCTAGTGATAAAATTGTTTTAACATATAAGCAAGTAAATCTAAATTTATTGGTTTTAAAGTTTAAGTTTAAGTTTTAAAACCGTTTGTGGGCGATTGTGGGCGTTAAAAGGTCATGGCTCTCGGCTGAAACAAACTTGCGTTGCGTAGGAAGCCCAAAAATATGTGTGGGTAATCCCAACCTTCTAGCTTTTGTAGTTTCCGAGATCTCAGCGTTCATACAGAAAGCTTCCTTCTCACTGTTAAATACTTTTGCACGAATACAATATACCCTTTTACTCTACGAGTAACGGGTATAATAATAATAATAACAAGGGAGAACGCTATAGTCGAGTGCTTCGACTATCAAATACCGTTAACTCGGCTAAAAGTGTGAGAGAGTGATGGAATTATGCAAGCCTGAAAGCCACTGCCTGAAATCGCCACCTATCTGAAAATTCATTATTTTCTCATAACTTTTTAACGAATAGTACGATTTTACGATAGGTATTACTAAACCAAAGGTATTACGGTAAATATGTGTTAGATCGACTCGGCTAGTGATCCTGATCAAGAATATATATAGATATAGGGTTGTTGTTGTATACTTTCTGACGAATACAATATACCCTTTTACACTACGAGTAACGGGTATAAAAATATGAAACAAATAACCGAATTGGAAATGTAAAGTAAGTATTTATTCACTGCGGAAACCAAAATGGCTTTTCATTTGGGCGACCTGTGCCCTCGTTATACATTGAGGTTGATATAATTTGAAACCCAGGAAAGCTGAATATTTTTTTGGAATGTCCTTTGCAAAAAGGTTATTATTTTGGGCAAATTTTTGTGGAAACACAGTTGCACGATCTGGAAATAGGGGCAGCAGAGCCGCACCGCAATGCAAAGTTCGCATCCAGTTGCATGATGGCGCACATTTATCGCCGCAAACCGCAGCGGGACAGATAACTGATGTGGCTGCAGATGCTGCAGTGCGGCGCCACCGACTCCAGAGCCTCGGAGCGAAATGTCAAAATGCCAGCCAGCAAGCAGAAACAGTGGCCAAGTCGAAAGCAGAGGCCGCAGGAACAGGGCGCAGATAGCCGTCATGCTTGGTCATGGACGCCAAATGGTTGACAGACTCTCCAGACAGCTGCAATGGCGCAGGGGCAGGGTTTCGGTATTGGTTTATGGCCTGGCTCTGGGCTTTTGGCCAGAGTTTAGGGCTACCGACCCGACCACGTTGCAGCGAGGGTCCGGAGAGGCTCCGCCTGTTTCTCGACCGCTTTTTGCCGATTGGCCAGAACGGGTTGGCCGAATGCCGCAGAGCGAGACAACAGGGCGCATGAGCTACGTTTCCATGGGAGTGAGTGAGTGGCCATCAACTGAATGGTGAGTCGAGCGAGATGGAGTCAATGGAGCAGCGAGTGGAAGCGGGACAAAGCACGCCTTAAGAGCAGGCTTAAAGCCAGTCTCTCTCTCTTCTGGCCACACTCTCTGGGCCAATTCTGCAACACGTGTTGGCGTGTTGGCCTGCGTGCAAAATAACCGAGTTTTTTATCCGCTCATCCGACGCGTATTTTGTTAATTTAATTAAACAAAAACGTTTTGTTTGTGTTTTTTCATTTGTTGCTGGCCAAATGCTTTTTGCCCTGTCGCCGAGCACAAAATGAAATTGGAATCGCGCTCGTGCACAACTTTGAATATGTTGAGCTCTCTCAAATGGTCGCTGCCGCCGATATTTCTGCTGTTGCTGTCGATTTTTGCCCGTCTGCTGCGACATTTGCGCTTTTTGCGGCATCTTGTTTTCCCTCCGATTGCTGTACAAGTTGTATCTGCCGTTTAATGACTTGCGCCGTTAAGTTTTAATTGAAATATCACACATTTGACCACTGGAAATTGCCATTGTAATTGTCAGCCGGGTTTCGGTTTATGGTTCTTTTTTGGGGCTTTAAGTAAGCATTTAAGAACATTTAAATCTGGAATATAATATTTGTTATAAAATTTCGCATTTAATTTTTATATTAATGTACCTATATGCAACATAAAATAGGTAAAATGAATAAATATATGGTATTAAGCTAATCTAAATATATCTTTGATAGAGAAGTTTTTAGCTAATTAAATGTATATAAAATTTCACTCAATTAAAAATAATAATTTTTTTATAGATTTTATGTCGTTTCGTTTTTAGAACAAAAAGGTATCATAACAACTTTAAAAATTGCTCCACCCTTTCGAAAATGAAAACGATGTTTTTAAGATGTTCCCTGAAATTGCTACAGTCATCTTTCTTTCCTAATAACGGTAAGATGTATTAAAAAACTTTTAAAAACTAGGTTAATTTCTCAAAAAACACAGTAGGTACATTGTAAACGGAAGTTTTTTCAGCTTTAATTCAGAACTCGCATGTTTGTCGGCCAACACTGTAACTGAGAAAGTTTTAAAACTTCCGCACGTGACTTCCGCGACTATTGTCGATCGGCTTGATGATCCCAGTGGCAATTGAAGGGGCTCTTGGCCAACTTGGCTGTCAGACTGAAGAGGTAACGATTGCAGCGGTAATTGGAACCAATTCAGCCCCGTCGAGGCGTAGGCGATTAAAAGGCGATTATTTCAATCGTGGACCGAGAAATAATGATGCCAGTGGATGGATGGATGGAAGATGCTGTCCAGGCAAGCCACTAAGAAAAAGCAGTCACCTGTCAACGAATTCGGCTTAGCTGTTATGTTAATGCGCCAAAACCGTTGACATTTATTGGCAGTTATTTATGGCGGACACTTCGCGCGGACTCTTGCCGAGACACCATTTTGGGAGCTGGCCATTTTGGTGACCAGCGCTGCCCGACTATGGAAAATTCTATAATTGTGCAGGTGACAACGCGAGTGGCACGCGCTGCTGACGCTGATTAGAGGCAGTTGCACCTGCAGCTGCACTTGCACTTGCCGCAGTTGCAGATACTTCATCTCGAGTCACGCTCGTTTGTCTGCTGGTATATGACCATAAAGATATTATTAATTATGACAATATTGGAGTAAAAGTGTTCGCTCCTGGGCACGTACCGAAAAAGGAGTGCTGCGGCACTCCCTCGAGGATCTGGAACTAAGAATAAAACTGGATTCAGCACCTTACTGTGGTAAGCAAATAGTGAAAATGCAAATTTGTATTTTCTAATACATTTAATAAATGTAATTGATTATTTAGTGCAATTAGTCGGACACCTTGAAATATCTTGAAATATATTGATGGTTAGTTATTATATATAAACAAAAGTAAAGAACCCTTTTGCGTATATTAACGTTTTTGAAAATGTTCCGATAACTTTACCTGTTTTTGGTTAAGTCTGACACTAATAATTTATTAAGGATTCTTATCAATAGGGTTTATCTTATTTTAAAATTATTTGATAAACTTGATTTATTTTTCATCACATATTAATGCATATAGGCGCTGGTATAAATCAATGAAATAAATAAAAATTGAAGATAATTTTATTTTATTTGCACCTCATAAAGTTTTGCACACTGTACTGGTATTTTGCACCTGTGAGATTTGTTTGTGAGATGCTTGACTAATGAGTTTATTAGTATGTATATGGTCTTCCGTAGAGCAGTCGGCAAGACATATTCAAATGAAATCGACTCTCCTGTTCTGGATAAAAACGATCTTCCGAGAAATATCGATGTCGAGGCACGTGTCATCTCTTGGACTCTTCTGATGAGATGTCCATATCAGATGGGTGTTCGATTTGTCACAGCGTCCAAAATTGGTCATTTAATGTTGGACAATTGGACAATACAATTGGTATACATAAGAAAAGGAATTTCTAGCAAAATTAAAAATGTTTGTTAGCGTCTGTTTTCCAGAAAAATGCTTATATTTTTTACAACAAAAGTCCAACGTTTTGTGTCCTAATAAAAAAAAAAGTTTTTAAAGTTTTAAGCACTATTTTATTTTTTTGTTTCTATTTCAAACCAGTTCTCAGAGACTATGCTAACAAACAAAATTAAAGTTATAAGTTAAACACAAACAAGAAGAATAATATTATTAGCTGGTCTTACAACTCGTCCCTAGTACGGTTGACCAAAGTGTAGCGGTGCTTGGAGGGCCTCAGCTCCTTAAACTTGGATTCATGGGCGACCGGCGGGAATTGAGAGGGGTCGATCGTGGACTCGGATTTTTCGTGAGCCTCGAGGGCCAAGTGGTAATTAAAGTGGAGTGCGCCGTTAAATAGGTCATCAATGAACTTTTGAAGAATACCGGGCTGATGAATATCCTCGAATCGTGGAAACACATACATGTGCATAAATGAATCGATGGCGATTACTGGGAGATCTTCCAGGGACTTGCCCATATGGTAGAGTGGGTGCTTGAAGAGTTTTCCTTCTGCGGTCAGGAAATTAACCCTCGTTTCATTCTCCAGCTGGCTATGAATTGCCTTCTTGAATTCCTGGATGGGACCCAGATCGTTCTTGTTGTAAAAAAGCAACACGAAAGGCAATCCCTCCTCGGAAAGCTCTTCGGCATTATCGAATGTGACTTCTCGCACCAGCGCTATACACTTCTTATCAATCCACGAAGTTAGATTTGTAAAGCTGGTCATGTTCCCTAGGTACTCACTATACGATATCTTGGGATTTGGAACCGGGGGATCACCACGGAAGATCAGGGCGTTCTTTACGGGTGGTCTGAGATCCTTAGTCAAATCACCGAATCCCACAAGGAACCTATTATTAAGGTGGGAAAATGTATTGGAATTAATAAGTTTTCAATAAAAGTTCAGTTTCATTTGAAGGAAGAATAAAAACTCACCTACATTCGTTGCGCATCAGGCTCGCTACCCTGCGATACGTATCATATTCGACGTGATCCTTGGAAATATAATAACCAATTACTGTGCCATCGCCCACTTCGACATTCTTGAGCTCTTCGATGCTGTGGAACTCCTTGATTGGATCCGCCATCTCATTTTCCACAAACTGGACAAAGGCTTCCACAGATCTCTGGCCACGGTACTCCTGATTGCTTATCAATCCATTTCTGATGATCTTTAGCGTCGGATACTTAATTATGTCAAACTGATCGGCCAGCATTTCTTCCTTATCGCAGTTTACTTTCCCCAGAATCACACGGCCGTTTTCTGGGAATTTCTGATGAATCTTCGCCGCCGCCTCCTCGAAAATAGGTTCCAAAATCTTACTAAAACGGCACCAATCCGTATAAAAACTGAGCAACACCAACTCATTGGTATTGATAAGTCCTTGAAAGTTTTCGTGAGTCACCACAACAGTAGAGTTTCCAGCGGCTAGAGAAAGTAGAGAAACTACGACTACCATCAAAGTGAGGATATTCAAACTCCCGGTCATCTTCATCTTCACGCGACTGATGACGTTGTTGGGTTTCTCATAAGAAAGAAGATCAAATTCGATGCGTCAAAGTAAAATATTAGAGGCGTACTTAATGGATTCGCTGCATCCACTTGGAAGTTTACTAACGTGTAAATTTCCGGTTTCTTACCAGACATTTACAATCATGAAGCTGGTGTGTTCGATGATCATCGCTCTTCTTGGCATTGCCAACATTTTGGAACCCAGGACGAAACTGGGAGATCAACCCCCAATATTTGATTGATGAGTTTGACCAATATTTGTAAGCACTATTTTCAAATGAAATGTGAAATGTACAAATAAATAAATATCATAGCTTTTGCTATAACTATACGGCTACATAGTCAAAGCATACGAACCACTTCTAGTTTTCCAGGATATTTGGGTGCTCCTTAGTAAAAGTCTAATACAAACAGATGTTCCCTTGCCTGCGCGGATCCTGACTTTCTAAAACCCGTCACTCAGCTAAAGGGAGTACGAACCCTGTACTTGGGTTGGTGTCCCGACTATCTAATATTCGTAACTCAGCTAAGGGGAGTGCGAGTGAGATAAATATATAAACAATTTTGATTGCGTATAACTTTTTAATGAATGGTCCGATTTGAAAAATGTCTTCTACATTTTGATAGGTATAAATATACACAACAAAATTGCATTTATACTTCTCGGAAAGCTTTAAAGATGTGGGCGCTGGACCCATTTTTAAATCGTTAGTGGGCGATTGTGGGCGTTAGAGGGGGCGCTCGGCTGAAATAAACTTGCGCTGCGTAGGAAGCCAAAGAATATGTGTGGAAAATCTCAACCTTCTAGGTTTTGTAGTTTCTGAGATCTCAGCGTTCATACAGACGGACATGGCTAGATCGACTCGGCTAGTGACCCTGATCAAGAATATATATACTTTATGGGGTCGGAAACGCTTCCTTCTAGCTGTTACATACTTTTGCACGAATCCAATATACCCTTTTACTCTACGAGTAACGGGTATAATTACCTTGACTTAAGTCCACGTTTCTTAGATTAAGAAACGATGGACTAAAAATGGCTAAATAAGGCTATACATGGACTTAAAAGTTTTCATCCCACATACATTTAAAGTCTACATGGCCTTAGGTCCATTTTAGTCCATGTTGCCTATACACAGCCTATGTTAAAAAAACAGGGTTATGTCAATAACCCCATAACTCCATAACTCCACCCCAGTGTAAATAAATTATTATTTTTCAATTTTTTGAATAGGTTAACGCTTATTTACGATCCCTGGAAATAACTGATTTCGATACATAAATTAAAATACTACAATAATGCCCAATTGATTCGTTTCGCATGCTTAAAAGATTAAAAACGTTTTTCTGCTTAGATCTTTGTTATGGGTTTAGCTTGCCTGCAATAATTGTCCAATTTTTTTTATATATATTTTAAACCCTATTAAATGTGTCAGATTTCAAATAATAATTAAATAATTTCATTCAGAGACAATGTATTTCTGGACAGTTACAATATTTGGCATGTTCAGTATTGTAAATTCTATTTGGATTCCGCCATTCTGTGAGTTTTAACTTACATTCTTACAACATTGACATTAACGAAATTTCAAATAAACTGCAGGTGACCTTTTAGTAATAGATGCACCTTTAGGTAAGAACTTTTAAAAAATACAACATGTTTCTAACATATTTCCTAAAATTTTAGAGTGCTCCCTGTCCAAAGATTGTGAATGTAAGTAATATTTAAAAAAACATTTTGAAGAAAATATATATTTTTATCTTTAAAATTTTTAGCTTACAGGAAGTGCTTAAGTTCTGAAAAGCCAGCATAGTGAATATATCGAAATTATTGTATAAGGACAATATTTTGTAGGTTATTCAAATAAAATTCCTTTTCAGTTATATGTATAGTACCTTTAGATATATATACTGATATATATACTGAGAGAGTTGGATGCTAATGATGCGTCATGGTCATAGAACGATGTCTGCAGCTCAAGACGAATTTTCAGCAGACAATTTGGCAAGCTGTCAACGCCACTCACAGTTGAAGGGGGCGTGGCAGGCTGGAGATTTTAAGAGGGTATGAGAATCGACAACTCGCAGCTAATGATTGTCTACGAAAGGACATCAATCAATCCGAAGTTAAAGCAAAACCACCCTCAGGGGAGAAGTCGCCCGTTTATGCGGCTCTCACATTAAATAAATAAACAAACTTATAAACTCATTTAAATCATATTTAAAAATCATCGTTGAACAGCAGGAGCAGTAGCAACAGCTGTCCATTCATGAATTATTAGTTAAACCTTATCAAACGTGACCAAAATCGAAACGGAAAAGTTAATAATAAAAAAGGGGGAGCAGCAGTGGGCCAGCTGTTGCTCTTGAAGGGCCAAGCAAGTGTGAAAAATCAGCAAAACGAAGGTCCAGCGAAATATTGAGAGTCGCACCCCAAAGAAAAGTGGAAAGTCCTGACAGGACGAATGGCTCACCATGTGCTGTGTTATTATCTTTTGGCCTGACCGCAAGACGTGTCAACTTGCGGTTCCATCTACAGCCGAAAATATTCCACATATAAATCAGGCTAAGAAAAACCCCGTAGACACATGAGTTTCCAAACTTTTTTTCAGTTGGAAAGCCGCTTATAAATTTTTGAGCAATATCTTCTATATGATGTTGCAGTGAGCGAAAATCTCTGAAAGTAATTTGACTGACCATTTACCTGATTATATTTTTAAAGTATTTCTAGTTTATTTTTAATTAAACTTAGATAAAAGAGCATTAAACGAGAAAGGAAGTTAGCTTCGGCAGGCCGAAGTTTGTATACCCTTGCAGTTCAAATGCATACTTACCTTCTTTGAGAGCTTCAAACGCTTTATCTCGATGGGTCCCGTTTACGTATATCAGATGTTTATTGGCCATTTTTTTAGATTTTGGTTTTAAAATTTCAGAAATCAAAATGCCTATTTCATAACGAAAAACGTATAGTGTTCCAATATTCCTTCGAGAGCCATAAGATATAGTCGTCCGATCCGGCTCGTTCCGTCATATGTACTACCGTCAGTAGAAATAAGACTTTTGGGAAAGTTTCATCGCGATAGCTTCAGATTTGAGAGATTAGTTCGCATAGAAACGGACAGACGGACAGAAGGACAGACGGACATGTCGTTGCAAACATCTGACTGAAATTATAATACCCTCTGCAAGGGTATAAAAATAGTGAAGGAAAATATAGCAATTATTAAACAGTTCATGAATTGTTCGATCTTAAATATAAATTTCCTTTTTGTGTATAAAATAAGCTTATTGACAGGACATGCGGGTGGCTCGTTTGTCCTCAGTTGTGGTCAATACTGCAGGACTTGGCCTTACCAACAGACGTCTTAAAGGCGAGGTCTTAAAGGTTTTCAGCAGGTCCGGGCACCGCCCAAGTTGTCGGGCCATGACTGCCACGGCAAGGTGACGTAATTATAGATGTACTGGTAAGTCGCCTGCCTTCGAGCCAAAGTGCAATGGACGCGAGACAAAGCAACCCTTGCATGCAGCGGACGGCCAGCAAACAAATTCGCAACGGGAGCCGGTGTAGCTGCGAAATGTAAAATTTTGAATGCTAAATGGCAAGGAAAACAAAGTCAAGGTACAAAAGCCACAAAAGGGTTGACACGGCCCAAAAAAACGAGTAGCCAAGTGGGCGTAAACCAACGCCGTGCGGTTGTCCTACAATTGATATTGGTATGGGTCCTTTGCAGTGTTGAAAGCTCTGGATTGCCGAATGGCTTAAAATAGTTAACAATAAATATTATAGAATTTATTTTAAATATTTTAAGGTTAAAAAATAATAATAGTCAAATTTAAGTTATCTTAAACCAGATTTACGCAAACTAATTTCTATTCCTATAATGTTATGAGTGCTTAAACTTAATGTACTCTAGTTCTCCTTTACTTAAAAACAATGATTTTAAATATTTTTTTTTTTTTTTTATAGTTTCAGATATAGCAAGATAGACTCTGCTATAAAGTTTATAAATTGTAAATTACCTACATATGTTTTAAATAGTGTTGATGGTTTCATTTGGAGGTTACGGTTGAATCATTTGATGTATTTCTTTGGAAATAAAAACGGCTATATTGGCAGCTCTGCTCGAGTGTATCTAAGGGATACGCGTTCGAGTTGGCAAGAGTTGAGTTGTCGCAGTTTGGTATCTCGTAATCTGGCAGTTACAAGACGCTGCGACACATTAGCATAAAATCATGATTAAGATACGAAACTTCTCCTGGCATTGCGTATCCGTATCTATGCTTTAATGAGCATAAGTATCTTATGGGTAATTAACGCACACAAGACAAACGTAAATCAAGGTTATCTTCCCTTGGAGATAGAGACTCAAGAGCCAGAAAGCCTTTTGTAAAAAATTGCAGTGCGGACATGAATCCGCTTAAAATGCAATTTGTAGAAATGTAGCATGGACATCCTTTTTATTTTTTCCTTTCGGCTAGACGTTTCCGTTTGACGCAGTTTCTGGATGGCTGCAGCTCAGTGGGAAAGTGTCATTAGCATTGATTAATTCGTCCTGCGATTTACATGGAAAAACAATCAATCAACACGTCCTACTCGTCCTCCATTAGTCAATCCCGAGATTGAGATTGAGATGCACAGCGCCACTTGAACTGCTAGCGAGTGTCAACCGGGCAGAGCCATTCCAAGCTGTCCGTCTCCCCTGGCTTCCGTGGATTCCATCCATCTATCCACCCATTTCAGGGACATTAGCAATCACAATCGTCTGCCGTGGGGCACATCATTAACGGCTTTCTGGCGGTGGTGCGGTCTTTCTAGGGCAGCTCATCAACAAGGCCAAAATGTTTATAGAGCTGTTCTTGCCAGTTTCGGTTTTAATGAATTACCACGCTTCCACCTCGTGTGAGAACAAAAGTTTCAGCTCGGCCTTAAAGTATCAAAATTAAAGAGGTCTATGAAATGGTTAAAAACAGGGGCGTAGGTTCGGGTACATTAATATATCGTTTAGTTTTATTATCTCACAAATATTAATGGGAGTTTAATAAATTGTAATATCTAAAAATATAATAAATTTATGTAAAAATGTAATCCGTTTTACTCAAATCATTAAAATTAAACATCACAGTATACGTCTTTAAAACATTGTTCTAGAATCTAAAATCGCCCACATATATTTTTCCCATGTCGACCCCTTGGTATCTCTCTTTCTCTGCTTCAGCTAGATCATCTAAAGCATAATTAAGCCACATCAATGTCGTGTTAAGTAGCCCGCCGACTAATGATAGCAACATTTGCAACAAAAGCCAATTGTTAAGGGGAAGGAACGTGAGTTGAAGTGAGGGTTCTGAACTTGTGGGGAAACCCACACAGACAGAAGCTTTGGGACTTTAATTTTTATGCGTGAAAACACAGACCAACAAACCCCATAAAAAAAAACAAACAAGTAGCGACCACAGGCGGCACTTAAAATGCGAGACATTCATTTTTCTAGGACTCAAACAGAACAGAAGAACGAGGGGCGGTGGCAGGAGAAAGGCGGAAGGACACGAGGAAATTCAATTAGCCTGAGAACTTTCGGGTTGGTTTCACCGTTTGGGCAACGTTTGCTTAGGTAATGTTTCAATTAATTCGGTCCCCGGACCTCAGATGTCTGGTCAGTCCTCGCTAATGATGCTGGGTGGTCCATTCGGGGGCGATACCATTAGATGATCTTTAAGGATGATGCATGGGATTTCCATCTCCCACAGAACAAATCAAATCAATTGCCCGCAATTAATAACACCAATTCGGGCCCATTGATCCAGACTGCGACAGCATTTCATTATTTGTTATATATTTCAAAGATATTTATTTGATAAACGCCGCCGACGTCGCCGTCAGACGCCAAAAATCTCATCGCTTTAAGTGGCTCATTTTGGTACGAGAATCGTATGGGTAATGGGTATGGGTACGGGTCCTTTGCAGCCATAACCGCAGGCAGAAAACCAACACCAAGCCGGAAAAAAGAGCAGGGCTCCACGGCTACCGGGTAACATATCAAAACGCCGCAAATGGGCAGGAAAAAATAAAATCATATGAACACAAAGTGCCAAAAAAAGGCAAACATGCGACGTCGTCTAAAGGATTTGCCCCATGGCAGGCAACGGCAAAGACAAAGTAGCTGTGGACCCCGCAAAAAAAAAAAAGAAAAGAACCGAAAAAGACCCAAAAATGTGCTGAGCCAAGACCACGAAGTGGATATATTTGGGAATTTATGCCGCGATTTTGAGAAGGAAAAAAAGTACGGAAAAAACGGAAAAATAAAAGTGAAATAAATGCCAGGAGGAATCGCATTGGCGGCGGCAGAAGTCAGAGGAGGATCGTGAATTCGGTAGCCCGCAAATGTCATCCAAATAAATTTGAAGACCTCGTTTCGGTAACGCTCTGGCGAATAAGAAATACACTGTTTGGAATAAAGTCCTTGGGTGCCGACAGTAAATATATCTGGTACATCACCTTATTTATTCTAAAACTATATAATTTGTTTCTAGATTCGGATCGATATTCTTTTTGATGTTGAGTTTTAGTTTTAATATTACAATTCTTACTTTTGAAATTAATGTAATTTTTTGTATTAATTTAATCCAGAAAACGATATAAAACTTTAGTTTAATAAATTTTAAAATGGCTTTTTATATCTAAAAAAAAATTTTTATTCTTTACCCAAACTAAAGGTGAAACATTTTTCTGATCTCGTTTTTAAATGTATTTACTATCATAACATTATTAAGCATACAATTTTTAATATTTTTATATAGTTGTATTATGATAATATCTTAAAAACGGTCTTTTCCCCAATTAATATTTTATGGTGCTAACCTCTTTTTCTTACGACGCCTCGCGACGGTATTTTAATATAAAGTTCTGGTGAAGGGTATTGCATATCACCAATCTTTCCTCCGATGCAAGTGAGTCACTTGTGGGACGCTCCCCGTGTTTCCGACCTAAGGCTGCAGTTGAAGCTCACACTAGGCAGCGTTAATCCGATATGTGATTACGAGTGTTCTGACTTTAAGCATCTGTTAAATTGGCTTAATCTCCGGCTCAGTGTGCGTGTGAGCCAGCGTCTGAGTTGGCCGTTGCCAGTATTCGTGTCTCCCGCTGCCACTTTGTAACTGTTGTCATTTTTATTGCCCTGGGAATGTTTTTTGTCCACTGGCTCAGCGCACACGCCCCGCAAAAAAAGTTATTTCCTTGCCTTCCCCTTCAATTTCATCTCCTTGCCTCTGCGACAGGGTGTCCTTTGTACTCGGCTAAACAAAAGTTTTGTCGATGATTTTATTGACCAATTTTTGGGTGCGTAAGTTCTGTTATTTTTCCGTATTCTTCCTTGTGGTAGCAAAGTTTTTTGCATGCCTTCATCCCAGAAGCCAATGACAGACAATCTGGAATGAAGTTCGTTTATTTTGGATTTTCTTTTCTTGGACTTTTTTTTATGGTTTTATTGCTTTATCTGCGGGGATTTAAAGTTTTATTGTGATTTAAACACTTGTTAATCGTGTGTGCATATGTCAAATTGCTGTCGCCTTCTTTGTATATGTTCGTGGGGGTCAGATTGTGTTTTTGTGAGACTTAGAGATTAAGTTGTTATTGTGAATTATGATTACATAGTGGGCTGGGGAAGTAATAGGAGCTAAGGCGATTACTTCAAAGTTTTTGTATGATTTTGCATCTGCCTGTAAAAACTGTAAAGACTTTTGCACAAGTGTCGAATGGAATAGCATGGAGACTTTTTTGATATTTAATTAAGAAATTAGATTTAGATATGTTGCATTTCTAAAAGTCATTGCTACGGATTTTTATGAAAATAGTCATATTATAACTATTTTTAATTTTTGAATGAATTTGTTTTCGCAATTCTTAAGATTACTATGTAAGAAGCTTTATGATTTTAATCATTTTTTTAATCAACTTTTATGGACTTATTCAATTTTAACAGTTATGAGTGTGTTACATCTTTTTTAATTATTACTTATTTTATATACGGTAACTTACCATTTTTAGATTTCAACACTTTAAAAGAATATTTACAATAAAAGTAAATTCACTGCATTCGTTCGATCCAATTTGCGATGTTGTGTATCTAAGTTTAAATTTACATTCGCGTAATTCATGTCACCACCAGCGCCGGTCTCTCCCGTCTGCAATCCATCGTTTTATTGATAAATTGTCCCAGTCCGAGGAGATCTGGGCCAGTTTTCTGGACAGGTTCAAACGTCTCTGCCTGGCGGAGGCAAAGGCAATCACTTCGCTTCAATCTGCGGGTGACGAGCTCCTGGCCAACTCGACTGCCACATCTGCTCGACTCCAGCCGGACGAACGATTGTAATCAAAATACAACAAATTAAGGGGAGAGGAGCGAGGAGCGTGTGCGTGAGAGCGGGCCGGGTACCTTTTTTAAAATATTTATTTATGCAATTATTTTGCAAGTAGCTCAAAATAAATAAATGAAATGAAATAAAATAGCAGGCCCGGTTAGCCGCGTACCTGGGTCGGGTTCCAAGTGCCCGGGCACGACTTCAATTGACGAGGCAGTAAATTAAAATTTAAATTTATGCCATTTGCCAGTGGAAACTGCTGCCCGAAAGTCCGCTCGCTCTTGGTCTCTTGGCCATGTTGGTGTCCCGAAAACGGAGAGACAGGTGAGTAGACCCGGCCGAATGGCCAATGTCCAGTGGCCAGAGAAGAGGAAAGGGCCTCAGTATCGGTCATGTCATCACTTCTATTGTCATCATCTCGCGTCATCTTTCTGTCAAAAATGTATTTATTTATTTGTGCATTGCAAATGCAGTGACCGAGCCCTGAGTGAAACGTCATTGCGGTCACTTCCAGAGCCCACCTGCCAACAGGTGTTGTTTAGACCCTCGCAGACGCGTTTTGACCCAATTAGTTTCAGTTGTGGCCGGTTACAATGTAAGCTCAGAGTTTATGGATCGTAAATGTCGTGGCCGGCCAGTTTTCATCATGTTGCTGTTAAAAACAGTCGAGTTTGAGTCGTATACGTAATCAGTATGGACACATAATATACAAAGCAGTCTATTTACATTTTTTAGAAAATTAGAAAAGTAAAGATAAAGGAAAAGTGGAATTTAATGCATATTTTGCATTAATAAATTGTCATTGTAGCTTTGTCAAAATTTCAATAGAAACAATTTTCATGTTTATGACAGTTGCTGTTGAATAATTTGTAACATTTTTCCGCTGTGCAGTTTCCGCTAAATGTGTGAATCCGCAACTCGTTTCACACAATTACTACCGCAAATTACGGGGCGATCTTCTTGCACAATTTGAGATACTGCCTTTCTACACTCATTAGCCCAATCATAACTGTGAAGTTGTTAAACCGCCAAAAACAGGAAAACCAGCGGAAACCACCCAGATCCACTTGCGATACAAAGACATCCTCGACCGCCGAAAGGGGGCCATAAATGGCAATCAACAGACAATCAATGGGTTAAACCCTTTTTGCTTTATGATCCGAAAACAATTTAAGCTTTTATTTGTTTTTGATGCCACCACAACAAGTAATCAGGAGCCGCCAACTTGTCTTCCAAATGGTAGCAAATCAAATTGCCCAACAAAGAACGGAGCGGACCAGAAAAGACCCGGTCGCAGCTCCACGAGGAGCCTGGTGCAATGAGCATACATCATGGCCAGAAGTTGCATTTGGACACTGCCCGAGTACGAGTCCAATTGATGGATCACCGAAAACCGACCGCCCGACTGCTGCAATTGTTGCTGCTGCCGCTGTTGCCGCTGCTGCTCTTGCTGCAGCAGTTGAAGCTGCCGCATTTGCAGTGGGACCAGCGCCAAATGAGTTGAGAAGCAGTTGCGTAAAACGAAACCAGCGATAATGATCATGCCAAGCGCAGAACGCGTTAAAGATTTCAACGTCGTCATCAGCAGCAAACAGAAGCGGTCTGCCACAGTGGGTATCCGCTAAAACAGGAACGTCGAAACACACGATAAAAACTTACAGTAATTTAGATTAAGCATTATTTTATAATAAAGACTCCGGTTTTTTGTAAATCTAAAAATAGTTTGATATAATATGATGATCAAGTTGATATTTAAGTCACAATACAATACTTTGTTACGGGGCGGAAATATTAATATTAATAATATTGAAAATGCCTAATACGATTTTTTAAATTTCGTTATCCAATTAGCATAAGTAAATATAGTTTAATTTTCTTTTTGATTTCGATTATTTGTGGACAAGAGTAAAAATTAATTACTTTTAACTAAAATTAAAATCACAGTAACGGTATTTTCTGCTTAATTTATGTAATTTTCAATATTTTTTAATATCTTAAAAATTAAGCTGTCAGCAATGGCAGCTTCTACTATAGCACACATCTGGAGTCTTCTTCGGCTGCTGACCCATCGGCGACCGGACGTAGTCGCTGGCCAAGTGCGATTGCAAATGCACGGAATTCTCATTGAGCCCCCATCCATGGGCAGTCCTCCCCCCAGTCACCCCGCCCCTTTCCACAGTTGGCCAGGCCATTAACGCGGCTTACTAGCACTTGGCATCGGCGATCGGCTACCGTTGCTACCGGTTACTTCTTGGCCATCTCCATCTCCATCGGCCGGCACTTCTTCCTCCGAATGGGCATGCCCCTTCCATCGCTTCCTCCGCTGATGAGTTTAGTGCCGCTCACTCGTCAATGATTTGTACTTTTTCGCGGTGCCCGGTGCCCGCCGCCTGACGAAAATCATAATAATCATAATAAAATGCAGCTATATCCATTTTAACACCAAAAATACGAGTATGTCTGGCTCCTGCCGCTGAGCCCGGTCCGTGGGAGATTGGCGGCCGGGAGGAGCAGAAGACCATTGAAGTATTGCCGTTGTCATGTCAATTTTGGACCTGCGGACCTAGCCAGAATGGCCTGTCGCATTAAAGTCGCTGATTTGTGTTAGGCATCGCCGGTAGCCGCTTCTGGGTGGTTCTGGTAATTAAGTGTGCTTAACGTGTTGAAATTATATGTTGAATGCCAAGGTAAATGCTAATGGAAAGCTACCTATTCGCTTTGAGTTGTATGCTCAAAATTATGATTGGAAGCATGTGCTTCTATGTTTTAGTACTCTCCTCACACGGACAAAAATACATTATGCAGTCATTATAATTAATTCTAAAAGTAATTTATAAAAAATCCATTCATAACATTTTTATTAGGTTTCTTATAAAAAATCTGAAGATTTCTGATTTAAAATCATAAAAAATGATACGCGAATTTACGATTAAAATAGTTATACCCGTTACTCGTAGAGTAAAAGGGTTAATTGTATTCGTGCTAAAGTATATAACAGCTAGAAGGAAGCGTTTCCGACCCTATAAAGTGTATATATTATTGATCAGGGTCACTAGCCGAGTCGATCTAGCCATGTCCGTCTGTCCGTATGAGCGCTGAGATTTCGAAACTACAAAAGCTAGAAGGTTAAGATTTTTCATACATATTCTTGGGCCTCCTACCCAGCCCAAGTTTATTTCAGCCGAGCGCCACGCCCCCTCCAACGCCCACAATCGCCCACTAACGATTTTAAAATGTGTCCTGCGTCCACATCTTTAAAGATTTCCGAGAAGTATAAATGCAATTTTGTCGTGTATATTTATACCTATCGAAAATTGTTTATATATCTATCTCCCTCGCACTTCCTTTAGCTGAGTTTCGATTATTAGATAGTCGGGACACCAACCCGAGTACAGCGTTCGTACTCCCTTTGGCTGAGTGAGTGACAGCAACCCGACTATAGCGTTATCTCTTGTTATACCCTTGCAGAGGGTATTATAATTTCAGTCAGATGTTTGCAACGCAGTGAAGGAGACGTTTCCGACCACATAAAGTATATATATTCTTGATCAGCACCAATAGCCGAGTCTATTTAGCCATGTCCGTCTGTCCGTCTGTCCGTCTGTCTGGCTGGCTTCGGCTGGCTGAAGCTAGCTTCATTTCTTGTTTTTTAACTATATTTATAGGACTAATTTTAAAACCGTTCACTGGAATACCCTATTGGAAAGAAGAAAAGAGAAAGAAATTACACATCTATAAAATATTTTGTAAACTTCCGCTGCTATTAAAACCCTATATGAAGTGCACACTCAAAAGTCCCTAATAAAAATTATGATAGAATAAATCTTATTCCTTACATACTACAGTTTACTAAAATTTTTTGACCTTCTGTAGCTCTTAAAACCATTTATGTAAAGAAGATTAAAATGCCCCTCTTCTGTGCAAAACTGCCGAAGAAGCGAAATAAACAAACAAATAAACACTTGCCAAACCGCAAAACAAATTTAGTTACAACAATGACAACCGATGCGGCAGAAACGGTTGTGCCTCTACATCTGCATCTGAACTTGTATCTGCATCTGCATATTGATCTTGCAACGTTTTGCTGCTCCGTTGCAGCGATTGATGTTGTCAATCAGAGCAGATTTAAACGAAGGTTAAGAGTTGCATACGTTTAATCGGGCAGATCGAGTCTGCGACTGAAATACGAACTGGGATTGAGAGGCAGAGACCACAAGCAAATCATTGAAGCGCGTAAAACGCGGCAAGTCCAGGATGCTGCAACGAACCCCGATCCGAGTCATCGGTAATGATGCAAGTGGCTCCGCCAGATGCCATGTGATAGAGATGCGGCGCCGCTGATTGCAATCGCCGAGCGTTTACTGTTGCCCGCTTGCATTTGTGTTGCAAATTTACAGCTCCATCAGTGGTCCGCAGGTTGCGGCTGCATCATTAGCCCCGCCAAGGTCATGGCAGATCGATGAGGCAATCAGTTCGCGGGGCCAACGGCAAATGGCAACAAATTAGCCAAAGTGATGATGCGTTAAGTGGCAAAATGGCGCAACCGCCAATGAGGAAATTAGTTTTGGCGGTTTGCGGGGCAGCAGGGTGTCAAGTGTTCCAGGGGTGCCAAGGGTTTCGACACTCGTCACATTGCTGTGACAGCTGCCCACACTCTTTGGCCCTTTGTCTTTGGCCAATTAAAATCAAATTTCAAAATTTCGAAATGTTCCAAATTTTGTGCAACTGATGACAGTTTAATTGCCGTCCTGACAGCTGCTTTCACTTAGGCACGAGTATCATCATCCGAGATCTGGAGCGAGGTGATATGGGGATGCGGGATAGATGTTTCCGTCGATAAGGTCGCAAATTTCGACATTAATTACTCATCAAATTGTGGGCACTTTAAAAGCGCTGCCTTTTTTCGAAAGTCATTGCCATTTGTGTTTTAAAAGGGTTGTCGTTAAGGGCTGTTTAATGACATATTATGAACAAGCTAACTCATAAGTGAGAGTATTTATAATGTACTTACCATGTACTTAACAGCCATCTTTAGGTTGATACTTAAAAATATTTAATATTTCATTGTTCTCCTTAAATAAATTAAACTAAAAAAAATTTTAATATTTACTTCAGGTTGTTTTTCCAAGCGAATTATTAAATGCTTTAATCAAACTACCCCGGTAAACGATTAACCTTGAGAACGTCTTCGCGATTCCCTGAGCAGTCCCCCCAATTTATATGGTATATGCAAATGGGCCAGACAGATAAACACACATTTCCAGCTACCAATGGGCCGACTCAGTGAACTTGGCCCGAACGCATTACCGTTAGAAGCGCCAAATTGCCACAAAAAAGGAGATCAATTTGCATGTGAGGCCGCCGCGGGCAAAAGCCAGTAGCTCCAATAACTTCAAATTGCAAATCATAATGCGGCAGCGAAGAGATATTAGAATATCAAAATTTTTTGTCTGCCGATCGATTGGCGGCTACTGCAATTTTTTTGGCGATAATCGAAATTGGCTCTAATCACGAAGGTCCCAAAATTGCCGCCGATCGTCGCGAGTTCGGGAAACTAACTGTTCATCTTCGATTTTGCATAATCGTTTCGAGTTGTGTGTTGCGCCTCTCATGCAGATTCGGCCGATTGCATTAAATAGCAATTAACCTTAATTGATTGCACGATTATCGCGAAACCCAGACGAACACTCTAGCCTCCCCCCACGGAAATTTCACTTTCGAACTGTGCGCAATTGTGCGACTTCCGAATGGGATTACAGCCAGCGCATAGAACTTGTGGCCCGGTTGTCTATCATTAGCATCAAAAAGCTATCATCATCATTACCCGAGCACGAGCTCACACTTCGCACGCGATGAGGCTGCCGGATTCGTTGGTGTTGCTGCGGTGCTCTTGGTGTTGCTGCCGTGCTGTTGCTGTTAGATACACACGCAGGCAATAATCATAGGCCAATCATAGAGGTACGGAGGTGTTGCTTTGTAAAGTGCGGCATAATCAGTGGGCAGCATGCAAGAACTTTTTAGACTTCTGGTTCTGTCATCTTACACCCAATGTAATTCTTGGCTAAGACTGAACAGATGAAACCATTAAGCAAACCCATTAAATCGATGCTTTCAATTGAACAGAAAATTATGGGTTCCTGGATTCTCACTTTTATAAATATAGATAACTATTTCTTCTTAGTGTTACTCAATGAGTCAATGTAATAGCCGGAACTCGAAAGAACTAATCATTTTATTAATAATCGCATTTTCTTGATGAGATTAACATTAAATTGACAAACACGGAGAAGTTCCATCTCTACAGGTATTTAGGCCCCTTTCCGATTGAAGGCTTTCAGTCGGCTGACATAAGTTGACAAAGTTTTCCAGCCAAAGGCAGCTGAAATCGCTCAATCGAGCAACAACGGAGTTGGGCTCCAAATAGATATATCAGTAGCTTTAAATAAATCAATAAGCGAGCAAATGGCAAACGCTGCATGTAAGCACTAAATCAAAGTGTCAATA